TGTGTGTGTGTGTGTGTGTGTGTGTGTGTGTGTGTGTGTGTGTGTGTAGGTATGTATGTATAAGCATTTGTGTGTGTGTATATATATATATGTATGTATATATGTATATATATATATATATGTCACTTGCCAACTGTTAACCATTCAGCAGACATTTATTAAGCACCAACTATGTACCAGGCACTGCCCTCAAGAAGCTCACAGTCTAGTGTGGGAACCAGCATGTATAGAACTAGGTACATGCAAGGTGCATGTAGTGTAGACAGACAGACAATCTTAGAGGGAAAGGCACCAGCAGGAAGAGGAGAACTCTTTTTAAAGTTTTGTTGTTGCTTCTTGTTTGTATACCACTGACATTTTCCCTGGGACATCCCTAAGCCCCATTGAATCTAGGAGAGATGTATCTTGAAGGCAAGTCTCCATATTCAGGAGCATTTGACACTCAGCCTTTATGCTCAGGAAAGAAGAAATAGAATTTGCAAGCTTACTCTTTTTTCACCTCTCAAGGAAGGTCTCTGATTTCTTCAGCCTGGGGAATTCCTTCTGCCAACACAGAAACCCGCCTATGAGGATGGAGTTAAGTCCTAGGAGTTGCCTGAGGTCATGAGTAACCACTAAGAAGTGCTTGCCCGCTAGGTGGTGCAGTGGAGAGAGCACCAGCCCTGGAGTTAGGAGGACCTGAGTTCAAGTCTGGCCTCAGACACTTGACACTTACTACCTGTGTGACCCTGGGCAAGTCACTTAACTCCAATTGCCTCACCCCACCCCCCCAAAAAAAGTACTTGCCCAGCTCGCTGGCTAGTGTCAGCCTGAATTTGAACCCAGATCTTCACATCCATTTTCTCATGTGACCTTCATTATTTATGTACTCAGTTTTCCTGTTTAGACACAGCCACGTTTACTTAGAGTGGCCTGTTTTATCTCCGCAGCAATAAAGTGAGGATGAAGTAGAATTCCGCTGCTGCTGAAGATAGCACTAGTTTTAGGTGAGATTACCTCCCTAAGACTTGGGTCTGAATCCCATCACAGCAACTTGTTAAGCCCAGGATGGCAGTTTCCACCTCCTGGAGTGATTAGGAGGCTCCAAAGCACTAACTTGATGTCATCATTGTCATTATTGTTCCTACTGTGACCTCAGCTAAAGAATTTCTCCTCTTTCTGTCTCAGTTTCCTTATCTGTAAAATGAAGGTGTTGTACCAGATGAGCTCCAAGGTCCCTTCCTTCTGTAAAACTTATGGTTCCCCTCCCCCATTAGTCCCCACCACCCCATCACTTGCCCCTGAAGAGATGGCCTCTATCACTGGCCTGGTCTTCCCTGCTCCTGTGCCTTGGGTTTCCCCTATCTTCAGACCCGGGCTTTACCACAGCAGGTGTGGAATCACACCTTCCTCATCCTCACCTTCAGCCGCAGTAAGAAACAGGGCCCACGCGGGCACTCCTCCTGCTGTGTCTAGACAATGGGACAGCCTGAGTGTTGAGCAAACAAGACCGTCTTCCCACCTGCTTTGTAGGTCGGCTTTTGGCTGTGTCTGCCAAGTGTCGAGCTAAGGTGTGGGGTGGCAGCCAAAGAAACAGGCCCAGAAAATTTTTTTTTTTTTGCTTATTTGAAAATCAACTTTTTAAAAAAATTTTTTTATTAATTTATTTTGATTGATCAATAATCACTTCCATATGCTTTTGAGTTTAAAATTTTTCTCCCCCTTCCTCCCCACCACCCTCCCCAAGACGGCGCACAATCTGATATAGGCTATACATTTACATTCACATTAAACATATTTTCACATTAGTGATGTTGTAAGTAGAAATGAAAACCAACAGGAGGAACCGTCAGGAAGAGGAAACAAAACTCGACAGAAGAGAAAAAAAAATAACAATTCGGCTTCCATAGTTCTTTGTTTGAGTGTGGATAGCATTTTCCATCACAAGGCCTCTGGAGATGTCTTAGATCCTTGTATTGCCAGGAAGGGTTAAGTTTATCAATATTAGTCATCGCACAACATGGCTGTTATTGTGTACAACGTTCTCCTGGTTCTGCTCACTTCACTCAGCCTCAGACCATACAAGTCTTTCCAGGTTTTTCTGAAGTCAGCCTGTTCATGATTTCTTATAGCACAGTAGTATTCCATCACATTCATATACCACAACTTGCTCAGCCATTCCCCAATGGATGGACATCCTCTCAATTTCCAATTCTTTGCCACCACAAAAAGAGCTGCTCTGAATATTTTTGTACATGTAGGTCCTTTTCCCATTTGTGTGATCTCTTTGGGATATAGCCCTAGAAGTGCTATTGCTGGGTCAAAGGGTATGCCCATTTTTATAGCCCTTTGGTCATAGTCCCAAATTGCTCTCCAAAATGGTTGGATCATTTCACAACTCCACCAACAATGCATTAGTGTTCCAATTTTACCACATCCTCTCCAACATTTATCATTTTCCTGTTTTGTCATGTTAGGCCCAGAGAATTTTCATGATGGTCCCAGAGTCTCTTAGTGAGTTAGCGGCACGCAGCGTCCGCCTGGGCACTAACTTCTCATGATGTTGTTGTGTTTTAAAGAGTGAATAAGCATTTGTGAAAGCATTGTGATGTGCCAGGCACCATGCCAAGGGCTGGGGCTGTTAATGCAAACAGAAAGAAAGCCTCTGCCCTCTGACAGCTTATGTCTGGGGCGGGAGGGGGGCAAAGGGGTGGCTGCCAGGGAGGGGGCTTGGGATGGACCCCCCGGGCCGTCGGTCAGTTTGTCCTCCAGGATTGGAGGTATTGATTTAGCTGTTGTTCTTAGAGCTAGAGGTGGAGTGTAGTGAAGACGTTGGGAGGGGGAGGGAAGGGGAGAAGGTTTGTCACAGGACAGAGCCAGCTGGGTCTGCTTCAGGGTAATGAAGGGCGCTCATCGTGGGGAAAGTAGGCTACAGGAGAGGAGTGGAGTCAGGCTGGAGGTGAGGCAGAAGGGCATGTCAGTGGCCAGGGAGTGACCCGTGTGGCAGGTCTGGATTGGGCTAATCATGGAGGATAGATGAGTTATAAAGGACAGTTACTCCAGCAGACCCTGAAATCCCCAGAGTGTCAATGACAGGGCGAGGGGAGGGGCTAACCAGGGCGCAGAATGGTCGCTAATTCAACTCTTCTTTTTCCCTTAGTTCTGTTATCCATCTGTTCCCTGCTCTGCGACCCCAACCCTGATGACCCCTTGGTTCCTGAGATAGCCCACACCTACAAAGCAGACCGAGAGAAGTAAGCCCTCGCTTTGAGTTTCTCATTTTCCCCATAACTGACTAAACAAGTGCCAGTGCTTGGGCAGGCCCACTCTTGTCCTCAGGTCTACCTGCGGAAGGTTGTTTCTCACTGCTTCTTCATAATAAGGGATTTCGACTGAGCCACAGGTCACCGGTGACAGCTCTGTTTTGCAAGAAACCCACCAACTGTTACAGTCAGTTGGCAAAAAGACAGTGTAGGCTAGTGGATGGAGGCCTAAATTATAAGCAGGAACTCTGCTTGGGTCCTCCACCCAGTTTGTCTGATGGCTCTAAGGAGGAAGAAGAGGATGGTCAGCTGCTTCAGGACATCAGTTTGATGCCTTTTCTGTAACTTACCAGCTGCCACAGTTGAAATCCTGAAAGTTTGAAAAAATGTTTCCCCCAAGTGGTCCTGCCAAGCTTGGCTGGTGGCAGATGGAGGTCCAAGAACCAGGGCTCTTCGGGGCACCTGTGGCAGAGAGCATTATGGGCATTTCGGTCAGTGCACAAGCCTGCCACGTGCCAGGCTCTGTTCTAGGCACCGGGCTACAAGCACAAAGCGAAATGTCCTTTACTTGCAAAGGGCAAACATTTTTAATGGGGGAGATAAGTACACTTAAAAACATATTAAGCATAGTCTTCCCTCTTCCGGTGGCGGACCTGACAGAAATTAAAAATGGTTCAGCGTCTGACATATCACCGTAGGCTGTCCTACCATATAGCTTCCAACAAAACTAGGCTGTCACAAAGCCCGGGTAACAGAATTGTTTACCTTTATACCAAGAAAGTTGGGAAAACACCAAAATCAGCCTATGGTGTGTGCCCAGGAAGACTTCGAGGTGTTCGTGCAGTGAGACCTGAAGTTCTTATGAGGCTGTCAAAGACAAATAAGCATGTCAGCAGGGCTTATGGTGGCTCCATGTGTGCAAAATGTGTCTGTGACAGGATCAAGCGTGCGTTCCTGGTTGAGGAGCAGAAAATTGTTGTGAAGGTGCTGAAGGCACAAGTGCAGAGTCAAAAAAGTAAATAAAAAGGATGTTTTCTGAATAATAAAGGAAATTAAAATGTGAAAGAAAATATGTATTAAGCATAAATATAAAATGAATGAATAGACGTGACTCCAGAATAGTTAAACAGAAGATAGTTTGGGAGGAAGAGCACTGGGGAGGGGCCCGGGGAATCAAGAAGGGCTCCATGCAGAAAGTGGTGGTGGGGAGATTCCTGGCGGGGGGGCAGGACCATTCCCGGCAGGGTGCTTGGCCCCTGCCACCGCCTGGAGGTGGGAGACGACGTGCTGTGGTGAGTGATGAGGTGCAAGGACAGGTTTGGGTGAATCGCACAGCGCGGGAGCGGGGTAACATCCAGTGAGGCCAGAAGGTTAGAGAGAAGACAGGCTTTACAGCTAAATAGAGGAGTCCTGGTGAGATGCGACCAGAGGCATGGGGATGGCTAACAAACACACTGGGTAGCTAGTGCTAGGTTTGAGAAGCCATTGAGCTCCGTTCCTGACCGACTCTGACTTCTCATGTGGTGGCTGCATTCAAAAGGCAAATGCCACTGTCACTTCAAGCACCTGGCCTGGCAGAATCCACACCAGACACAGCATGGAAACCGCGGCATGAATCTAAAAAGTCGGCAAACTGTGTGGCCTCAGAGAAGACGGGCACACACACATTCATTGATTGCTGATAGAGTCGCAAACTTGTATGATATTTTTGGACAACAATCTGGCAGTTAAAATTACAAAAAATGATCACACTCTGACTCAGTAATTCCATTGTTTGCAATACACCCTGAAAGTGTTATCAAAACAACTTTTTTTTAAAAAGCTATCTGTTCAAAGATTTTCATAGCAGGATTATTTGTAATTGGAAAAAAAAACAAAACTGGAGGTAACCCAAGTGTTACATAGTAGCAGAATGGTTAAATTCATTGTGGTACATTGATTTAATGGAATTATATTATAGACCAGCAGATATAGACTATAATACAAAGAAATATAAAGAAATCTGGGGAAGACCTTTGTGAATTTAATTAAGCATAGAAAGTGGAAGCCAAAGACTGACGGCAGCTGCTTGAGGCAAAATGCCTGAGAATGAATGGACAGAGCCCTGATGGAGACCCTCAGAGAGGGGCTGCAAAGTTAGGGGAGTCTTATATGTTGGTATTAATTAACTGTAAGTGGTTGCAAAGCAGATTTAATTAGTTAAATTGACATTCAATATTAATTATAACTGTTCAAAGAGAAATCGGATGTGGGAAAAAAAGCTTAAAAACAGTAGCTGGTCCAGTTGGACATTGATAACTGCTGAAACATCTAGAGAAGAGATCACTTTAAAAAAAATTAACAAGAATTTGTTTTCTCTCCCTCCCACCCATCCCCACTTCCTCATCACAAACATGCATAGTCAAGCAAAACAGATCTCTCCATTGGCTTGTTCTGGAGTCCTGTGCACCTGGAGTCCATCCAGTGCCTCTCAGGAGGTGAGACCCTGAGCCTCCAGTCCTGGGCTTCTGCCTTAGGCTGAGCGCTTGAGGCTGGACCATCACTTTCCCAGCTTGTTCTCACCACCGAGCCCACGCTGCTTGTTACCGACTTAAGCGTGTTGACTGTTGGACATCTGTTTAACATCTCATTTGAGAACCTGAAAAAAGGCAGGTAGATGGAGGGCTCTTTGCAACCACATGCTTATTGAATTCTGGAGGACAGCCTTTTATTTTTTTCCCTTTTGACATATTTTTCTGGCCCACTTCATGTTTAGATTTATTTCTCTTTAACTGGTGTGGTTTCTCAGTATTTTGTCTTTGTTTTCTGAGTCAGTGCAAAAATGTGTCAAATTTCACTGGGCTTTTTTTTTTAACACTCAAAATCCATTCTTTCAATAGCAAGAATTACAGAAACACCCCCAGCTGTACTTTAAGTTCATTACTGATAAATGTCAGTCTCCCTTTGAAAAGGGAGTATGATTTACCAAGTGAGATTTCTCCAAAGTCCCATGGGGAAAGCCCCAGAACTTTCTGCTGCTCACACTGGGATCCCCCGATTAAAACTGGCTTTTTTGCTATCTTTTTCACAATAGGCTCTAATTTAACACTTCACGTCACTTTCTGAGGCTCGATCAAACCACTATTTTTGCTTTGCCTATTCAAATATAAAATTAATTTTCATTTTTCTCAGATAACATCAGCTTGGGCTTTTCCTACTGCCCATATTACATCATCACACTAGAATAGGGGAAGAGAATCAGGAGATAGATTGGGTGGCCCTTGAGGAAGTGACAAATGGCCTTCTGGGCTGGACCCCCCAGCCAACAGGTAGGAAAATCAGATCTGAGTTGTCGTTGTGGCTTCCGTGACTTAGAGTCCTTGGGTTTTCGAGAGAATTGGAAGCAAGAAGAAAGATTTTTGCCTCTCCTGTAGCATTGAGAACCTCTGCCCTTTTTCTTCTAGGTACAACAGATTGGCCAGAGAATGGACCCAGAAATACGCCATGTAAATGCCATGAAGATTTGACTCTTTACAAGCTAAGAAGTTAACCTTTCAGAACAGTCTCTTAGTGGAAACTCTGGCTTGTCCACTGTTTACTTGATGTCATGAGCCATTTGCAAGGAGTCTCCTCCTACTCTGTGAACGGACCCTGGTTTCCCTTTGGCTTTTGTCTCAACTTGGCGTCACCACCTGCAGCCGTTTGGGTTCTAACAGCTTCCTGCCTTTGATGCCAAAATCAGTAGCCACTTTGATTTACAGATTTTTAGCCTGATTCAAACTGGAATCCACCTTCCACTCCCACTCCCTTGACCTTCTCTTGGAATGGCAGAAATGCACGCATTCCTTCCTTTAGTCTTTCCTCAGGGTGGCATGTGCCCTTCACGCTGCACAACAGGAACTGTGCAGCTTCCTGATAAGCTGTCCTAACAGAACCAAGTACTAGCCTGGTGTGCCCAAGAGAGCCGGATGAAATTTCTCTTAGTTTTCAGTTTACTGAAGAACTCTATCCAAAGAGGAATCCCAACCCTCAGGGACTTTGCATGGGATTGGAAATGGTTTGGCGGTGAAATGAATTCATGGCTGGATTTTTCCATTGTCTCCAAGTAAAGGAGGACAGTATGATTGGTCAGTCTTCATATGCAGTAGGAATCACAGTCTCACTTTTTTAGACTCAGAAGCAGGAGATCTGAAGCACCTGTCAATAATAACCAAGTGCTCATTTCCAGTCTTGCTCACAGAATTACCAGAAAAAAAAAATCATGAGATTTGGAAAGATGTAGGATTGTGTCGTTTGAAGATCATGGAAGACCCTGAGGCCCTGCAAATGAAAGGAGAGAAGGTCAGAAGGTGGAGAGTGTTTCATTTGTTAGGAAAAAAAAGTCAAAAAGGGATGGCGCTCTGGCAGAGAGACTTCTATTGTGAATAAATCTGTCATTTTCCCTTTGACATAATCCTTGAATTATTCAAAGGGGCAGCTCCACTTTTATACTCACATTTCTGTTTTCATTCAGAAGACAAAGTTTGGAAGCTCTGTCCAGGTTCTTTAGAAACCTCAACAGAAATGGTTCCTTGGGCCTTTCGGCTCAATTAGCTTTCAGGTTTCAACATTTCTATTAGAGTTGGAATAAATGAAGAAGTAAGGTATTGGTTGCCTTTATAGTTTTGTGAGTATTCTAGCAAGAAAATGAGCAGATTGGTTGTTTTTTTTTTTTAACCTTAGCTAAACCTTCTCAAAGAGAAGCAAAATGCATTATTTCAAAACCCAAGATTATGATTTACTTGTCTCTGTTCTCTGCTGGTTCTCAGAGTTGCTTTGCACTCCTTGGGTTTCTCCACGATAGAACAGTAATGTTTGGGGGAGTCCATGGGAGCCGAGTGACTGTAACTATGCAAATAGCAAATGACCCAGCCAAACAATTGCAGGTTTAAAGAAAAGATAAATGGATTTGTTAAACCCTCAACTTGAAGGGCAGCTGATTACTTTTCTGAAAAATTGGCTGAGTGCAGAGACTCAGAAGTTATCGTTACATTATTGCCAAAAGATTTCTCAGAGGAAGCTGGCTAAGGTCAGCTCCTTGTGGAAGGCAGAGCAGCTGGGATGGGCCTTGCCTACTGCTGTGCCTTGTTTAGACAGGCCCCTGTCCAGCTGCTCCCCTGTTGCCATAAGATGGTGTTTCCTTGTCTTGGGATTTCCTGTGCCCCGGATACCTCCTCTTGTCTCATCACTCCTTTCCAGTCATTTTTAAACTAACCAATAAATTAAAAATGTAAACATATCAGGTACTAAGAGTGTGCACCAGGCCATCATTATGGTGTTAGTATGGAAAGAGTCACTCTGAGGAGCACAGTGGCAGTAATGACATGGGCCTTAGAGCTTGTGTGCGCTCACTGTTTGCTGACACTGCATCGTGTATCTAAGGATCACAAAGCACTTGCAACTTGGACTTGTGTAGCACGTTGTGAGAGGGAGAAGAAGGGACTGGTTCACATTTTGCTGTTGGGGATATGGAGGCCCAGAGGAGGGGCTGCCCAACATACTGGAAGCCAAAAAGAGCCACAGAATGTTGGAGCTAAGAGAAATCTTAAGAGATCCAGTGCCCCAATTTTACAAACGAAGAAAGCTTGCTTGAAGTTACATAGCGTGGACTTAGCAACCTAGTGACTACTAAAAAATGCCTTCTGAAAAAGCGTTGTTGTTTTTTTAACCCGTTTAATCAAATTTTAAAAATTAAGTCTTCTTTTACCTAAGAGATTTCATGGGTTCTAAAACAAGTGAAATCAGGTCTTTGTTTCCTCCTCTGACATCTGTCTTCACTCAGTCTTTGCTGGGAGCTGTTGGCAAGCCTATACTAGGCACTGGAGATTCAGACACTCCTGAGCTGGAGCCACAGAGACCATGTCATCTTTACCCCAGCTAGTCCAGCGGGTTCTCTTTCTCTAGTAAAGTCACCAAACCTGTCTTCTTTCAAGGGCAAAAGCCATCGGATGTAGAGCTAGACAAGACCTTGGAAATCATGTGGTCTAACCTGCTTCTTTGACAGATGAGGAACTCAGTGTGAGAAAAACGCATGAGGGCAGGCCCTGTTCCACAGGGTAAAGAGGTCTTGATTCCAAACAGACTGCTGTTCTCTAAAAATTCCCAGGTAATCACCACTCCCTGCACTTAGGACCCCCTTTCCAGGGGAAGAGACCCATGTTTGCAACAGAATAGTCAGCTAGCTATGTAGCTTTTTTCCTCCTTTTCCTAAAGGCATGATTGATGTCCATAATCCATATAGACAGACTCATCGTGTTCCTAGAGGACCTTGCCATTTAGAATTCTGGTTGCTATATGGGAGTAGGATTGGCATCCTTGGATTTTACAGAAGGTGAATTTGAGAAATTTACAAACATGATCCTGTTAGAGGACAGAGAAGGAAGAGGTGGCATTTCAGATCAGTCTGACCAGAGAGGCATTTCACCAGGCTGTGCTGCCCCCAAGGTCACTTTCTGAGCAAGCAGAAGCACAGCTTGGTTCTAAGCTACCTCATCACACTTTCTTAGGGATTTCTTTGAAAAGCCAGTGCCAGCCTTCTTGGAGTGGCACATTGGCAGCTTTCTGTGCTCACTGGCTCTGAGGTCATCCTCAGAATTTAGGAGAGGGGCTCAAGATGACACAGATCTTCTCAATTCTCCTGTCCTCTTTATGAATTTACTTGTTTATGACTCATTCTGGTTGTTTCGGTTTTCCTCCTGAGTAGCACTGGAGGGAAGGGGTGGAGCTATAGCTGACTTGTCAGGGAGTACTAGCCGTGTCCTCTGAAGACTGGAAATTGTGAGAGAGTCAGCCCTGGGCATCGGTCGCCAAGTAGCACTGAGAACCAAGGGCCAGGTTGGTTGAAGCTTCCTGTGGCCTAAGCTTGGGCCTATGCCAGATTTTCTCTCAGAATGTGCTTGTATCTCCCATCCCTATGTCAGCCTTGAGAAATAGGACAGATAGTAAAGAACCAGCTAGTCTCTATGGCAGTTTGCTGGCTTCAGTCCCAAAATTCTCTTGACTTTCCTCCAGGAAAGGCCCCCGCCAAGGGCCCATGAAATGTTTATATCAGAGAAATGAATGCATTTCATATGGCTTCCTTGGTTGATCCTCACTGCTCAAGGGCCTCAGATGCCCTCTGAGAAGTTAGGCCACAGCTTCTAAAGGTGAGAAACTTATGTCAGCTAAGATTCACAGGTTAAACACCTCCCAACCCCCAAGAAAAATGAACAGAGTACCTGTAGATAGTAAAAGAGGACAGAATTAGCTTTGAACTGCCATGGATGAGACTGCCAGGAGCCCATTTATTGAGTCATCCACATTAGAAACTATGTTGATTTATTCAGGCCTTTTTGGAGCACCCCAGTGCTTGCATAGCACTAGTCGGTACTCCAGGGAAGGGGCTGGCCACCAGAGAGAGTCCAGCCCTCCAAGAGTTTACATTCTAGTTAGTTGGAAATTCAGGGTATGCACATAAAGCAGTAGATTAAGTCCAGGATGAGTGTTAAAGACCAGAAGGGTCACTTGGAGTTCATGTGAGAAAAGCCTTGTGGAGACTTGAGTTAAAACTTAATGGAGAGGGGGCAGCTAGATGGTACAGTGAATAGAGCACCGGCCCTGGATTCAGGAGGACCTGAGTGCAAATGCGGCCTCAGACACAAAACACTTAACTAGCTGTGTGACCCTGGGCAAGTCCCTTAACCTCATTGCCTAGCCAAAAAAAACCCAAAAAACAAACAAACAAAAAAAAACTCAGTGGAGGGGATCTGTGCAGGTGAAGGGCTGGAGGCATGGCCCAAGCCAAAGCTTTAAGTGAGAAATAAGTAAGATTTGTTTGGGGGATGTGGAGGAGCTGTCCTTGTTGAAATGAATGATTCATTTGAGGGAGTAGAGAGAGGTAGAGGTCTCTGGGTTCAGTGGGGAAGGGCATGATGGAGGAGGCTTCAGGTTCTAACCATCATTCCCTTGTCGTCCCTTGGCATACCTAAGGAGTAGAGTAAAGCTCTGCTATGTTTATGTAGGAAGTAAAGGGGAAAACTCATCAGAATCTGGGGGCTGGTCTCAGATGTGTGTGTGTGTCTGTCTCTGGACTGTGTATCAAGGAGCAATAACAATTCTTTTCAGGGCATTGCAAACTGCACCTTCTAGCCATGGAAATAGATGAGGCAGATCACTTAGCCGTGGGAGCTTTAGCACTATTTCAGACCAGGCCAAAGTATGCAAGCTGAAAGCCAGCCAGTACAGATTGTTGAGAGCCACTTATTTAGAGATTGCATTTTTTTAACCTGTGAAATGCTAAGAGGTAATTGTCCTCGAATGTCTCAAAAATTCAAAATGCATTGGTCATGTTAAAGAACGTACTGGTATTAGGTTGTGTACCCTGTGTGTTAAAATGTGGACTGTCAGACTGTAAAACAGGCAATTTGCTGAAATCAGCATCCTCCTCGTGATTTCACTTCCGTGTGTGTGCGTGTGTGGCCAGCCCACCCTACATTTTCTTTCGATCTCTTCTTATCTGAAGAGCGTACTCCAGGGAATTGGGGCAGATATGAGCACATCACCTGGGCTTTGGGCATCTGTGAGAATCCCAAGAAACTGGAAAGGCTTATGTTGTAGGAATGAGGGTCACCCTTCCTTTGGACTGCAAAAAAGGACTGGGTCACCAAGAACACCACACTTCCTCTTCTCTTTGGAGGGCTCTGCCCCTTCTTGGGAGCCCAGATGGACTTTACTAATGGAACCTCAGTCTGCAGTCCCTCGAAGCTGTCTTTGGTCTGCCTGCCGCTGCTGCCTGGAAGAAAGCAAGCCATGACATGTGGTCACACAGAACCATGATCAAACCTGAGAACCCCTTGTCTCCTGGTTTTTCCACACTCCTCCAGATGCCTAGCACACTCATTATTCCCTACCCTCCCTCCTTGCCCCCTCCCCACCCCACCATCCAGTGCTTATTGTTGCTCAAACCACAGCAGTCAATTACTGTGAAGGGTTTGTGTCTTTTTTTTCTCCCCAAGATTGTGAAGTATCCATTTGCTGAACCATATTTGCCATTTGCCTCACACCATGTGGAGTGGACACAATTCCTTTTTAAGCTAGGAAAAGCAGAGACTGAAACCTCTCCAGCCTCTGCAATACTGTGGCCACATGTTGGTTTGAGCAGGGAAACGTCATCCTGGAATTCTGCTGAAATATGATATTATTGCTAACTGTGAATCTTCTGTTGATGCATAAGTTAAATAAACAGTGGTCCTTTCTTACTGGTCTTGCCGTGCCTTTTAAGAACAGCCTGTTTTCTGATGCTGTCTGTGTGTGTTCTTTGACTCTCATGAATTGCAGAGAATGACAACTTCAAGAATCCCCCTTTATTGCCCCACCAGAACCCTTGAAGATGTTTAGAATATGAACCAAGTAGTTACAGAGAATTTAGACAATGAAGCTGGTCTAGTAGGGTCAGGTCCTGCCAGGTCAAATTTAAGGCAGTGGTAAAGCCTCTGGGGAAAAGTAGAATGTGAATTAAATGTGCAATGTAAGTTTAGACCTAGGAGGAGAGGGGAGAGAGAAACCCAAATAAAACCCATAACAAAAGAATAACATTATGAAATCAAATGAGAATTTAGGCAGAGAGAAT